AAGCAACCCAAATGTCCATCGACAGATGGATGAATGAATGGGATAGATAAAACATGGTATATATATATATATATATATATATATATATATATATATATATATATATGATGGTTACTCAGTTTTAGAAAGGGAGGAAATTCGAATATGTACTACAACATGGATGAATCTCGAAGGTATTTTGCTAAGTGAAACAAGTTAGACACAAAAGAACAAATATTGTATGATTCCACTTCTATGAGGTAGCAGAGTAGTCAAACTCCCAGAGATAGAAAGAGGGATGGTAGCTGCTGCCAGGGGGTAAGGAGTTGCTGTTTAATGGTTCCAACTTATCATGGCTCAACTTCTGACTTTTTGACTTTACAATGGTGTGAGATTCATCTGCATTCAGCTGAAATCATACTTTAAATTTGAATCCTTACATGGGCTCATGATACAGGGCAGTGGCCATGAGCTGCACCTCCCATCCAACCACACAATCACTAGGGAAAAACAACCCAAACTCTATGGTGGGTTGGGTTGCTCAGCTATGATGCTTAGAGGTTATATGGATTAAATGCATTTTCCACTTAAGGTGTTTCAATTTATGATGAATTTATTGGGACAGAATCCCATCACACTTTGAAGTGCATCTGTGTAGAGTTTCAGTTTTGCAGGAGGAAAAGAGCTCTGGAGATTTGGCTGTTCAACAATATGAATGTACTGAACAATGGAACTGACTACTTAAAAATATCTAAGATGATAAACTATGCTATGCACATTTTACCTCAATTTAAAACAACAACATTGGTTGCTGTTTGAATCTACAAGCTGTGTGGTGGCTCGTGATTGTGTGCCCAGCCAGACTGCGGCATTTGTGCCCAGCCAGACTGTGGCAATTGGTGATGACAACAACAAAAAGACACCATGACCATAGTTTGATATGGAGAGTGGACTGCAGGGTCACAACTAGAGGCCAGGTGGAAGCTTCCTCGCAATTGTGATCAAAATAATGGAGGCGAGAGGAAGACTGTCTGACCTGGATGAGTGGTAGTAGGAGGGAGAGTATGCACGGATTTTAGGAGAGAGAGATAGGGGAGAAAGGAGGCTATAGCAGGTAGGCTGGTTTGGTCAGTGAAGTAAAAAGTTATCAGTGCTGCCATTTTCAAGGTAGGGTAACAGGAGAAGCAGGGGATAGGGGATGATGGTGGGGGTCTTTAGATTTAGATAGATTGTAGACAGACATGTAAGTATGTATAATTGTATATATATATATATATAAATATATGTGTGTGTGGGTGTATATATATATATATATATATATATATATATATATATATATAATATTGTATGCTCTTTTATTTTTTATTAACTTTATTTTTCATTGCTAAAAATCCAATCCATGGTCTTGCACACACTAGGAAACTATTCCATCTCTGAGATAACCTTTCAGCCCCACATACTCTGTTGTTTTTACTCACTGTTGAATATGCTAGGATATAGAGCAAGGGATATATCTCGAGAGTTGGCTGTAGGCCTGGTGTGGTGGTGAATGCCTGTAATCCCAGCAACTGTGGAGAGCAGTGATTTGAATCCTGGTCTTTCTGACTTCCTTGTGGCTGCATTTGCACTGGGAACTGCCTGTGCAAAAGTGAAGTCAAGATGGCTCAGTTGCTATGGTGGCACCAGCCAGAGGAAACTCTATGTAAAAGCTCAGAGTTATTAGTTGGGACCTTGAGTTTAAGTACCAACTCCCAGGGATAAAGAATTCTGAGCATAACAAGATGACCCTTATGTCTCGTCAGTCCTACGTCCTTCAGATTGCCTGCTTTGTTGAAACTTTCCCACAAATAACCTTTTGATGAAACCTACAATATGTGCTGAGCTAGCTCTGACTCACTGCTTCTCCATCAGAGAGCAGTGTCTCACTTGGCCCCACCTTTTTCTCTCTATGTGTGTGTGTTTATCTTTTTTTCATCCCCCATCTTCCCTCATCTGGTATTTCCTTAATTAATGGCCACTGGCTGAGAGAGATAAGAGGGCCACAGGCAGGCAACTCAGGAGGCTGAGGCAGAAGGATTACAGGTTCGAGGCCAGGCTCAACTGAAAGAGACCCTAAACAACTTAGCAAGACCCTGTCTGAAAATAAAAAATAAAATTTATAAAGGAAGGAGGATGTGGCTCAAAAGTTAAGTGCTCCTGTGTTAAATCCTTTGTTTTAGTCAGCTTTTTTTTCCCCCTACTGTGACTAAAATACCTGACCAGAATAATTGTAGAAGAGAAAAAGCTTCTTAGGGGGCTCACGGTTTTAGAGGTCTCAGTCCATAGACAGCTAGCTCCATTCCACTGAGTTTAAGGTGAAGCTGAGCATCATGAGCATCATGGAGTCAACCGTTAACTTTGATTATAACTGGATGTTTCAAACTATCATACTGATTACAAATGAATGGAGTACTTGATGTAGTTGGGGATACTTTGCATATTTCAACAGAAAGTAGAAATATGTTTGATGGTAGATAATAGAATGCTGAGATTTATTCTTCATAACAAGATCATCATTATTTTGTTGTGTGGTAAAAGGAAGCAGCTCACATGATAAACAGACAGCAGAGACTCCACTTGCCAAATACAAATATATACCCCAAAGCCACACCCCCAATTCCCCACCTCCTCCAGCTACACCCCACCTGCCTCCAGTTACCACCCAGTTAATCCCATTAGGGATTAATTCACTGATTAGTTTAAGGCTCTCCCAGCCCAATTGTTTCTTCTCTGAACCCTCTCACATTGTCTCTCACATTGGCGACACCTCACATCCAAACCATAATATCTCTGGTAGAAAGAAAGGAAGGAAGGAAGAAATTATTTTGGAGGCTTAAAGTTTAAATAATGACAGAAAGTATATTGTATTCTTTAGAAAGACCATTAAGAATTTTCAAATGATAACATTGGGGTCTTGATACTCATTTTTTTTTTCCAGGATGCTACTGGATTCAAAGCGTCCTTTATAGTCTCATTCAGAATATCAGTTCAGAACATCTTCTTTCTTACCAGTAAACACACAATTTTTACAAAAGCTTCTAGTGTATAAAGATACTTGGCAATTCTTTATAATGTGTTGGTAATAAAGACTCTCAGTATTTATATGATGGTAGAGTTTCATTCTAGATCCTATTCATTTTAAATTTCTGATAGCCCTTCTTTATTTAAAAAAATTGTAGTTGTAGATGGACATCATGCCTTTATTTTATTTATTTATTTTTATGTGAGGGTAAGGATTGAATTCAGTGCCTTGCGCATGCAGAACAAGTGCTCTGCCACTGAGCTATAGCCCCAGCCCCTAGCCCTTCCTTATAGATTGCAACTATTTTCAATTCTGCTCTCAAATGTAAGTCAACTGTTAACTTTGATTATAACTGGATGTTTCAAATTATCATACTGATTACAAATGAATGGAGTACCTGATGTAGTTGGGGATACTTTACATATTTCAACAGAAAGTAGAAATATGTTTGATGGTAGATAATAGATGCTGAGATTTATTCCTAATAACAAGACTATCATTATTTTATTATTTTAAAGATATGCACAGTATTCAGTAGTTTCTTGTCAAGATTTGAACTTTTTATGGTACAACTGGAAAAATAGTTGTATATGACATTGAACTTACTCTTTTTAAGTGTAAAGGCATTGGGTTAAAAAAAAAGCACTATTCTCTTTCCATGTTGTTATCTTGAAAGGTCACAAAATTACTCCTATCATGTCACAGACCAAATATTTTTCAGTGATCCGTCATCTTACCCTGGACACCAATACATCTTAGGTGAGTCCCTTTCCCTCTCAGGATGTTTCTGGTGTTGTCATCTACAATCCATGGCTTGGCCATGGCTGTAAGGTTTGGCATTTGGCTAATTGGAAGTAGTCACTACATATGTTAAAACACCTTTAGAAGATTTCCATTTTCTGCTATTTAAGATAGGTTGCTTTTTGTGATTGTTTCTTTCTTGTCCTACACTAAATGACGTTTATGTTTGAAATTTGTAAAAACACTATAAGGTTTATTCTCACCCAAAGTCACCCTTCAGAATTCACCAAGTGAGCCTCACATGGTTGGGAAAGTCAACTCTGCAGCATCTCTTGGTGACCCTAAAGTACCTTTTCCAGAGGAAAAAACTGGCATATCACCTGCTGCCTGGGTTGGCAGTCAGAGCCTGGAGGATTGGGCAAGGGCTTGGGCGGGGACAACTGATGCCTTCTCCATGAGTCGTGATCCAGCCTCAACAACCCAGACCTCCATCGGGGACTCTCTGACTCACATCTTGGGAAAACATCAGGAGAAAGCACTTGGCCAAACTGAGCAGAATAGCTTCCTTCTGTTTACCTGCTTTCTGTGGAACATAATTCTTTTTCAAACATAAGAGTGCAAAGGAATTCAAATACCACTGTAAAATACCATCATTAAAAAGTTTTATCATTGTAGGGAAAAAAAACTCTAATGTTCAAATAAGATAGGATCTTGGGTTATTTATTACATTTTATTAAAGACTGTTAACAGAAGAATAAGTTCTTTATTTTTTTTCTTCTAAACTTCATACCTATTTATTTACTTGGGTCACTAAGAGCTCTCTCAGTTGAAGAGGAAATTCTGTAACAATAATGAAACACAATGTTTAACATGTGCCAGGCACTGTTTTCCACACTTTTACATTTTTTGGTTATTTACTTCTCATAACAGCTCTGTTAAAGGTAGGTGCTATTATCCCCATTGTATCTATGAGGACACTGAGGCTTGAATAATGTGTTCAAGTCATACAGCTAGTATATGGCAGTCAGGCTTTAAACCTCAGCATGGGGTCCATAAGCTGTAATGCCATCATGCCACCCTCAGGTGGTTACTAACCAGGAGAAAGAAAAATCCGTCCCTTTCCATAGACGACAGTCTTCTCATTCTCTTGTTACAATCAAGTGAAGTCTTTACTTAATTCTCCAAGTTCAAATGAAGAATTTTAAAAATACACAGAGCCCAAACACATTTACTTTTTTTTCTATCAATAAATATTTATTGAATTAAACAAAATATTTATACATCACTTTTAACAATTTTCTTTTTCCAAAATACTCATTTTGATAGAAAAAATATTGTCAAAGGTATTATTTTTAAGAAAAACTGAATATAGAAAATGGACAGCAAAAGATCAAAATGCATCTCCTGTCACTTGATTTTGTGACCACACAATACTATTTTGGGAGCACAAACATTGACACTGTATTCAGCAAATATATTTCTTTTTCTTTAAATGATCCAGTACATTTTTAAAAATCCCATCTTGATAACTATAACTTTTTTTTTTTACAAATGCCTATTTATAGACATTACTTGTGCCATTTAAAGACAAAATTAGTGAAACTATTTTTATGAAAATTGAAGCAATTGCTAGTATTGTTTTGTATTTCATTATCTACTAGGTTAGATTAATGAATACTTTGTCCTGTCTGGAGTAAACAACAACAACAGAAGTATATAGCAAATATTTAAAAATATAACTTAAACCCTTAGTAGTTCGAAAAGTCAATCTTCTCAGTTTACTGTAAGAATTAGGATAATTCGTATAAATACATGATTTACAAATTATAATATACTCTAACATATTTACTTTTATGATGATTCTAAGCAAAAAAAAATATTTTAGGGTTTATATATTTTTTTTTATTTTGAGTTTTATTTATTTATTTATTTGTAGCACTGGGGATAGAACTCAGAGCCTCCCTCATGCTAGGTATATTAGGGTTCAAATGAGTCCAGTTTGTGAGCTGTCTTTTCTTGTGGGAAGAGGCTGGAGGTCTCCACTTATTTTATTTATTCATATATAAATAAAAAAATATATATATAAATTTTTTTTCCTACAGTGAAAACTACCACAATGGAACTGTATGAAGACTCTTTCCCTTGCTATAGGGAGGAGTGTATTAAGTCAAAGGGGAAACATATCCTTGGAGTTAGCTGGAAAGAAACTGAGAGAAATCTGAGAAAAGTCTGGTGGGACCCAGTTTCTACAATTGTCATATTTACACCATGAAATATGTTGTAGGTAGGGCTAGACTTACCTGGTCTTAAGCAGGTCAGGCAGTGAGCCTCAAAGAGTTCACATTCTACTCTTTCAAAAAAATCTTGTCTTCTGGAGGGCCTGAGAAATATGACTGCTGACTAAAATTGCTTCTGTATTAAATAAGGGGAAAAAGAGTTAAGAGTTGACTCAGAAGAAACACTAGAAGCATGGTAAATGAAACCAAATCTTAAAACCTGATGACTTTGCTAAGTTGTTATAACTCGGGAGAGAAAGCAAGACACCTGTAGCTAAATTCTTTGAGTTTATCATTTTCCCCCTGTGCTCAGAGATCCATCTAGATGGTGTAGCCTCAAGTAGCCTAGTGGGGGAGAAAATTAGTAATAATTGAAAAAGTAAGCCGAGATTTAAATGGTCAAGATACAAATGTTTAAAATGGATATTTATAATATGTTTTAAAGTTTACTTGAAAAACAGAATTATTTCATTTTAAATTACTCCATCTTAATGTACAAAAGGAATGGTCTACCATTAAAACAAAAGCACTATTTCCAAGAACATAATTTTATTGTCTCTGGTTCCATATGTTTTCAGCCTTTAACACCTGTCTTTACTAACATAACCAATACAGAGTTTTTCAAAATATAATTTGGATCCAAATTGGACTACGAAGAAGCAGATTGGAGGGAGATAAACTCAAAACAAGCAAACTAATACCAACAGCCAGGAAAAGTGTTTTTCTTAATATTTATATACATATTTACAAAGTAACGATAAAGCCAATTGGTCATTATGTACATGTTAGTGAATATTAGTATTTTACATTTACATACATTTGTGTATATGCAATCAAGTAAAAAAGTAAATTTTAAATAAATCTTATCTGTGAAAATACATAAAATATGACTGATATATACTTCTATTTGAGTGCTTCTTCAATATTCAGTGCTTAAAATTATTTGGAAAAATAATCACAAAATCTATTGTGGTAGAAGGTATTAAAAGAGAAAGTTATGGGATAGAAAGCGTTCCATGTGGGTTTTATTGATAGGGGAGGTGAGGAGAAAGGTCTACCTCTAGGCCCAAATCACATATCATAAATCAGATGACTCAGAAATGCAGAAATCCCATTTTTTCCCCAAGATCAATTTCACCAGAAATTGGACAGAACCAACACTTTCAGGACAAGACAAACGAATTTAAGTTTTGATGATGAGTTCATACTGTGAGTGAATGTAAAATCGACCTTCTCCTTGAGCTTCAACAGGAAGCGTGCTTTGGACGTCAACCCTATGGTCAGGTCCAACGTCAGTTCCTTAACCTTTGGTGGGAGAGGAAAGATGCAGTGTCATTTAATAATGCAGTGTCACACAACTTGCCCTGCACAACTTCACTAGGAATCTGTCTTCACCGAAAAAACCTTGGAAGGTATCAGCTATCTCCTTCCGCAAGAGCTGGGTTCCAATTCTTGAGCCTCTCGTTTCTTCTTTTCTAAGGATTTGGGAGCCTCTCAGCCCAGTGCAGAGGACCTGGCCACTGACGGTCCTTTCCAGGGTGGCTCGGGCTAGGGATGGGTGGTGGAGGTGTGGGCCAGCTGCTAGTTGAGGCACGGGCAGCAGCAGCAGCAGATGGTCCAGCAGGGGACCTTCCTCTGGTACTGCAGGGTCTTCCGCACCTGCTCCTTGGCCTCGCCCGTGTAGTCCAGAGTCTTCTGCACATTGAGCTCGATGACATTCAGCGTGTCTGCCTGCTCCTCCACCAACACTGCCATCTGCAAGAAGAGCTCATGCACGTCGCGGATGCGGTTCTCCAGTCGCAGCAGCTCACGGTGGCGGCTTTCGATCTCGTTGAGGGCGGCCCGCGCGCCCTTCACATCGGCCAGCAGGTTCTCGGAGAACACGTCCCACTTGCCCTGCTCAAACATGTCCTCGATCTGGTCGCCCGAGACGTCTTTGCCCATGATCTCCAGCTGTCGCTGGATGCGGATCTTGCAGTTTTCGCGTTGCTTCATCTCCGCCTGGTTGTACTCGTGCATGGCCTGCTGGAAGGTGCGGGTGAGCGCGCTGTACTGCGCCTGCGAGACGCGCGCTACCGCAGAGTGCGCCCCGTTCTGGGCCTCGGCGGCCTGGCTCAGCTCCTTCATGGCGCGCAGCTTGCGGTGGATGCTCTCGCCCCGAGTCTTGATGGCCTTGGCAATGGAGTTGGTATCGCGCTTGATGCTGCTGAGACGCCGCATGGACGTGAGGAAGCGGACGTTCTGCTTTCCCAGCCGCTTCACGTCGGCCATCAGCAGCTGGTTTTCATCCTGAATGTCCTGGATGTCTCGGTACAAGGACTCCAGGATGTGGTCAGTCTCAAACACGAAGTCCTCATGGGGCAAGTCGAACTCATCATCCCCATCTGGGAACTGCTGGTCATAACTCTTGGACAACTCCAGAAGTTCTGCTAGCCGGTCCTTCATGTTGCCTGCAAAAAGAGATGCACAGGTTAAATTCCTCTAGCGACAGTCAAACATTTGCATTCAGGGGACTTGAAGCTTAAAGAAAAGTTCTGATCAGTGCTCCTAATTCAATGCACCGAAGAAGCTAGATGTTCTCTAGCATTTTGCTCACAATTAAAAAAAAATATGACTCAAAGGCATGAACAGTTGTGTTTTTACAGTGTATAGGCTTCCGCAGTTCAATATCACAGGACAGCAGAATTCAATCAGCAATTGAAAATTTTAGATTGTTTTGGGAAACAATCTTGCCTTCCAATCATTGCAATCAAAACAGATACAGAAAAAAATATGAAAAGTCTTGTAAACATAGGAATTTTTCCCCCTCCTTTTTTTCTTCCTTTCCTCCTTTCCATCCTTCCCTCTTCCTTCCTTCCTTCCACCTGCTCACTCTTTCTCTTTCTTTCTATTTTACCCCCAGAGCCACTAGCATGCTATGCAAGCACTCTGCCACTGAGCTACACCCAAGCCCCACTGGGACTTTTGAATAAGAACAATTTATAAGGTCTTGGGACCAACACTAAATGTTCCTAATTTTGTGTTAGCATTTGTGAGCATTCCTTCCTGTACAGAATAACTCTTAAAGTAGTTATTGTATAAATCACAGCTTAAATTTTTTCCTCTTAAAATATTGTGAAAATAAAACATTCTTGAAGTAAAACAACAAAAATATAAACAGATTAAATCTAATAAGAAAGTACAGTACAAAATTTGGAAATATATGCCAGGTGTGGGCTGGGGATATATAGCTTAGTTGGTCGAGTGCTTGCCTCACATGCACAAGACCCTGGGTTCAAAGCCAGGTGTAATGGCCTACACCATAGTCCCAGCATCTGGTAAAGCTGAGGTGGGATTAGTGAGTTTAAGCTCAGCCTGGCCAACATAGGCACACATGGTATAAAACAAAAATTGACATTTCCCTAATATCATTCTCTAATTCCCTAATGGTAAACATCATTAACAAAACTGTTTTTTTAAAAAAACTTCTTATATGGAAACTTCAATCATACATAGCCTTACAGCAATAATATAACCACTCTCATTTATACATCATGCAGCAATATTTGCCCACTTTTAATGGTTTTTTTGAAACAAGTTGGCAGCTCAGGCAGAATTTTTGATAATTTCCCTGCTTATCAAGGCAAAAATGATGTTCTCTATATGCATATTTTTCTAGTGAAGTGACAAACTTTTATTTTTAGTACCATGCATATAAGCCAAAGTAGGAGATATTTTGCCCTCATACATGAGACTTCATGGCTAAAGAGATTCTCTTGCTATATAATTTGCAGAAAAAAGTGGGAAAGTAGTAGTGCTTAATGGCTGTAAAATCTATCAGCAATTTTGATCTCAAATTAAAAGCTTCTTTCAAGCTGAGGTAATCAATTTTATATAGCACCATTAATGGAATGCTGACAAGCTGGATTTAGTGGTAAATGGAAACTCGTGACATATTAACCATAGCCTCCATCTACCATGATCATTATTTACATAAATTAAGCAGAAGCATTATTCTATGGTAGTGATTTTAAAGGTAATACATTTTCCTGCTTAAAATGTCATTTCTGCTATCTGGTGACTAAAATCAATACCAGACCATCTCAACAAAGGGGAGAGCAACTCCCATTTCAGTCTGATTGAGAGGGGGAAAAAAACCAGCCTGGGCCAAAACTATGCGTTATTTGGGCCTGAATGTCTTGATATTAAAATATTTTCTCACTTGGAACAAAAACATCTTTTCTCTTCCTAGATTTTTTATTGTTGCATTATAATTATACACAAAGATGGGATTTGTTGTTACATATTCATACATGCACATAATATAGTCTGGCCAATATCATTCCCCAGCACTTCCTCTCCCCTCTCCATCTTCCCCAGACCCCAGGTTCCTTTCCTCTACTGATTTCCTTTTGATCTTCACGAGATCCCTGCCCTGTACCTTTCTTTTCTTTTTTCCTCTCTAGCTTCCACATGAGAGAAAACAGGACCCTTGACTTTTTGAATTTGGCTTATTTTGCTTAAAATAATGGTCTCCAGTTCCATCCATTTTCCTGCAAATGAAAATTTCATTTTTTCTTTATGACTGAATAAAACTCCATTATATGTGTACACACATATATGTATATATACACATATGTGTGTGTTATGTGTGTGTGTGTATCAAATTTTCTTTATACTTGGAACAAAATTTAAGCAAATCAGAATTTAGAGGGAAATTATAATATTAGGCAGATAGTAGGTTAGTTTGCTTAACCCATTAAAATTATTTTTTAAATTTGTTTTTGTTTTTTTCTAAACATTTTTTTAGTTGTAGGTGGACACAATACCTACCTACCTTTTTCTTTCTTTTTATGTGGTGCTGAGGATCAAACCCATTGCTTCATATATGCGAGGCAAGCACTATGCCACTGAGCCACAATCCCAGCCCTAAATTTATTTTTAATTGACACATTACATAATGGCTTAATCAATCTAAGCATATGTATCTCCTTAAATAGCATTTCTTTATGGTAAAAGCTTTCAAAATCATTTCTTCTAGTTTTTTTAAACATAGAGTACGTATTTTTTTAAAACTAACAACAACAAAAAGCCCTAAAATACCAAGCACTTGTGCAAACACAATGAAAAGACATCTCATTTTAGGAAGAAATGTAAATGACAGAGATCATACAAGTAGCTGATACAGACTGGGTGCTTACTGTGTGCCTGGTACTTTCTGGGTACTTTTCATGTGATACCCTCCTCAGTCTTCATACAGACTATGAAGTAGGTTATAGTTAGTATCAGAAGATTCAGGAATTAATCCCAGGTCACCAGTAAATGAATAGTCAGACTCCAGGATAGTTCCACCTCACCACTATACATAAAAGTATCTTTGTAATGGTTAATTTGAATTGGCAACCTGATTGGATTAAGAGATGCTGATGGTTAAGAGGCTTCTGGGGGTGTCATAAGGCTGTATCTAGGAATGATTGGCATGTGGGATAGTAAACTGAAGTGGAGACCCTCCCTAAGCATGGACAGCACCATCTGATAGGATGGTGGCTTGGATGGAATAAAAAAATGGAAGAACAAGGAAGCACAGCAGATGCTAGCTCAATTCTTCTTGAAGGGGTTCTTGATTGCTGCTGCAATTGTCTGAGGATATCAGACTCTTGCTTCCTCACTTTTCCAAAGTGGACTCTGCCAGTGATTCTTGAGGGAGCTTCCAGAAGCCTTCAGTCTTGAACTAGGGTAGCACTCTTGATCTCTCTTGTTTGGGGGCTTCAGCCTCTTGGATTGTGCAGCTACTGGTTCTACCAGCTCTCTAGCCTGTAGGTAGCCATTGTGGACGATCCAGCTTCTGGTCACCTAAGTCAACCCAATAAGCCTCTTTTTATAATCATATTTCCTGTTGATTCTGTTCCTCTAGAGAACCCTGACTGATATAATCTTTAACAAATGTATAAAAGTGCATTCATAAAGAATTTCACTATTAAACAAGAAATACAACTTAAATAGTTGAGAGACTTTTTCTTTTTTCCCCACCAAATTAGCAGGAACTTTTAAAATAAAAAAATATATATTTTAAATGGGTAAGGATTCTGAGAACTCTCAAAAGCTTGCTGACAGGAAGGTAAATTGATAGAAACTTCCCAGAGGATGGCTTAGCGATATGTACTGAAAGCTTTGAAAGTGTACATTTGTTTTGACCTATGTGCAATGCACTCCAAGGTTATATGCAAAGAAGTTTGATGCTCATAACTATAAACATTTTTATCACCACATTGTTTTTACAAAAATTAAAAAATGGGCTGGTAATATAGCTCAGTTGATAGAGTGCTTGTCTTGCGTACACAAGGCCCTGGGTTTGATCCCAAGCACCAAAAAGCACCAAAAAAAAAAAAAAAAAAGAAATTAAAATGATTCAATGCATAATAATGAGACTGCTAAATGAACTGCAGAGTTTAGAAGGCTAGCTATAATGACATGGAAAGCATAAATACTCTCTTAGGTAGAAAAAGAAAGTAATCAGAAGAGAATGTGGAGAACTCCCACATATGTATTCTGAAATAAAGGGTTAAATAATACACATCAAAATGTTAATTGCAATTTTCTTTGGGTCACAAAATTCTAAAAGAGATTTTAATTATTTCCTTGTGCTTTTCCATATTTTCAAAACTTTTATGTCCATGAAGATTTCATAATTAGGGATAACCCCATAGAAAACCAGAAGTTCTATTTGTTTTAAAGTTGAATCCTTAACTCCTTCGTTAAGGTGTACACATTACAATCGGGTTCACACCTATGGTATCTGGAAAAGAACATTGCCTAGCTAGCATGGAGTTGATCTGTATGCATCTGGTAAGTTAGCATCCAATGCAGTCTACTACTCAACAGATGGAAGGAATGAAATTTTGACAAACAAGATAAGAATGGATGACAGATGGCTTCCTGGCATCCTGGCCAAGGCTTACAAGGCACCACAATGGAAGGTAATGGGTGGTGACAGGGCAGTGCTACACACCAGGACAGTAAGGATCTGTCTGTAGCTATCCTACTGGTCTAGCCAGGTCCTGTGCATTCTGCTGCTCTTCTAAATCCATGAAAAAACTAAGTGGGGAAATCATCTCATTCACATTATAAAGAGCAAAGTACAGTTCAAACCATACAGGAAGTATTCTTGGAAGATGTTCAAGGGCAGTCAATCATTCCTTCTTGGGATCTAACAACCTCGCCACTGTTAAGTCCTCAATCAGGTGAAGCTTAGGTTCATCTGAAGGCCCAAGTCCATGACTATAAGGAGAGAGAAAGGAAGGGCCAGGGGATATGGAGATCCTCTAGACAAGTGCAGGCCAGGAAGAGGCCTTCCTGTTGCCTTCCCCTGCACCCTTCCTGGCCCAGCTCAACCAGCCCCAAGGGAGTGGGTCTCTCACACACACAGAAGGTCTCCTGCTTGCCAGGGAGTGAACAAAAGGAAAGTTACTAA